TCCCCTGCCTGTGCTCCACACACCTGCCCTCCTCTGCACGCGCCATCTCTCTACTCCCGGAGCTGTGTGGGAGCTTGGCCAGGTCCACCAGCCTGCCCAGCTGGGTGTTGGCACTGATGCGCAACCCCTGGCGGGATTGCAGGGACACAGGACAAGGGAATGTATCCTGCAAGTCCTTCCATGACATGCGGATGCAGGAGTCACAGAAGTTGTGGCCGCAGTAGATTGTGATAGGGTCATTGAGGTAGTCCAGGCAGATGTGACAGATGAGCTCTGGCTGCATGTTGGCCAGGGCTGCTGACACCTTTTCCATCCACAGGTATGATATGGAAAGGACTAGGGTGTTTTCTTCTCACAAGGCAGAGCTCCACAGGTCCTCCGGTCAGAAAAATATCACCTATTCAGACCTCTGTTCTGAATTCAATTTCGTTTACTCAGGGATGGTCTCTGAGAATCTAGTGTACGTCTGGACTCAACACCCTCCAAATGGTATTTACCAATAAGCACATCAACTTCTGGGCCTTCATAAATTAGGGTCCCCTGTTTCACCTGATACTTTTTCACAGCACAGCTCTCTGTGATGAGCAAATGACCTCATTCACATCACAGGAGTGGTCACTCAACTCTGGGTTCTAGTATAAAGTATTATCTGGTTAATTTCAATACCCCACTCCAGTCCCCCATAACACCTAATTGATCACTACTCACCTTGGTCCTGACTGGCCTAGCACAGTGCCTGAGGCTACGGGAGAGCTACTCTCCTTGCAGGATGCAGACTTCAGCCTTGCATTGGGCACTGTTTGCTCTTCACCCAGCAGTGTGTTTATATACATCAGTGGTGGAGCTGGAGAGACTCATCCAGGAATGACTAATGGACTGTAGGAAGGGGTTGAAATGATGGAGGGATTTCATGAATTTGATTGGTTGGTAGGGACACTAGGCCCACAAACGAGGCATTGAGTGGTAATCATGTTCAGTCTATAGTCTACTTTCAGCATGCTTCTATTGCCACATGGAAATATTCTATATGCCAAAAACAGTAACAACAAGTCTCACAATGGAGATGTTACTGGGCCCACTCAAGCATCACCAGGTATGGACCAAAAAGAAAACAAATAAAAAAATAATCAATTTTATTTCATTTCTTAATATATTTTTTGTTTGATTGCTTTCACCCCAAATTAGCAGTGCTCCAGGCTTAACTCTGGCACTGTGCTCAGGTTCATATTTGATGGGGACTAGGGATATGTGGAATAGGATTAATTGGTACTAGGGACCAACGCTGGTGAGCTTCATGCAGGTGAACGCCCTACCCACTGTATTCTCTCTCTCTGACTCCATAAAAAGAAACACATTTTGGTAAGAGGTTGATTATTCTTGATCATGAGCTCATAAAATTACTTGACATATTTTCTAAAACCTTTTATTTTTGGAATGTTTTTATCCCAAAACGCATGGTGCACTTAAAAATTGTTATTATATAATAATTATATATGTATCACTGTCACTGTCACTGTCCTCCCGTTGTTTATTGATTTGCTCCAGGGGGCCCAGTAATGCCTCCATTGTGAGATTTGTTGTTACTGTTTTTGACATATCGAATACATCACAGGGAGCTTGACAGGCTTTGCCATGTGAGCGAGATACTCTCTGTAGCTTGCCAGGCTCTCTGAGAGGGGCAGAGGAATTGAACTCTGGTCAGCCAGTCGGCCGCATGCAAGGCAAACACCCTACCCGCTATACTATCTCTCCAGCCCCATTTTGTAACAAAATGGGGAAAAAAAGGAAAAATAAGAACTTTCTTTTCAATGTGAGAAAAGCATGGAACTTGTAACATACTAAACTCAAGAATTTCTAAGAAATGAAACTAGTAGGAAAAATGTAGATGCTACAAGCACATTTGTGAAACCTGAAAAATGCGATGTTAGAAAATAACTTGTAGTTTTTTTTTTTTTTGAGTTTCGAAAGAACTTGGTTTTGTTTCCTGAACATTTTCTATGTAACCTTCCTTTTAATAGAAATGTCAAAATGTCAGAAGCGGCTGAAGAGAAACCAAATAATCACCATTTTGTTGATAACCAAAAAGCTCTGTGTGCTCATAGAATGCTGCAAGTCTAAGTAATTCTCTGAGGGGTTCGAGCACAGCGGGTAGGGCATTTGCCTTGCACGCACCCGATGCTGGTTTGATTCCCAGCATCCCGTATGGAGTAACCACTGAGCTTCACCGGGTGTGACCCAAAAAGAAAAAAAAAATCCTAAATAATTCTCTAAAAAGCCGAACCTGATATCTCAGCACAGAGATAATCCTCAAAAGGCTAGGGATAATGGACCATGCATGGGACCGCTGGAATAGAGCTGTTACCAAATGGATTCCATGGGACGTCAAACGATGGAGTGACTGCCCACTTATGAGATGGTCAGGTCTGTTTGAGGCTCTTCATGTTCCTGGAGCGAGCAGATGCCATTGGGCTACACTAGCACGCGATATTTTTTTTATTTTTATTAAATGGGAATGATAATTAGAATTGTAGATTACCAAGGAAATTGATGAAAACGTTTGCATTGTTTATTAGCAGTTATTCAACAACGTTCCTCATGTATGAGACGACTCAGATTTTTTTTCCCTCTTTCAAGATTCTATTTGTTTAACTTTATTTACTTAGTTTTTCCAAATTTCCTTTCAAACTTTATATAAACACAGTGGTTTACAAAGTTCTTCATGAGTGACAATTCTTTAACATAAAATAAGTCTTAAAATATTATTGATCAAGAAGAAAAGAAAAGCTTTATCACTGTAAAATATTGGTGATTTATTGGGAAAAAATTAAAACTCACTAGGAAGGACTGATAAAACTTGTCCTGCATGTGACCTACACATATAGAATCTTGGGACCTCAAAGAGTTCCCCAAGACCATAAGGAGTGATAACTGAAGAATAAGCACTGAGCACTGCTAAAAGTGGTAAAAAAAGAAATTACACAAAAGTCTCTCAGGGTAACTTAAAACACACTGATCTTAAAATTAAATAAAAAAAAATGCATTCATCTGGGGAACATAAAGCAACAAAATGGGAGACTAACACCCAGGAGTGGCTGAGATTAGTACCAGGAATTTTGCTCCATGACTTGAAGGCCAGTCACACGTGCTAGGGGAAAAGGAAGCTCAGATAGAGAAAAGAACACCAAGTAAAGGGTGTTGTGAGGATCCTCCCAGGGTGGAAGAAGCATGCTGAAAGTAGACTGTAGACCAAACATGATTGCCACTCAATGCCTCTCTTGTAAAACAAAGGACCCAGAAGAAGAGAGAGAGAACAAGGGGGAATGCCTGCCACAGAGGCAGGGTGGGATGGGGGGATGGGGGTGGGAGGGATGCTGGGATCCGTGGTGGTGATGGATGGGCACTGGTGGAGGAATGGGTACTTGATCATTGTATAACTGAAACCCATGGTCACGGTCCTCCCGTTGTTCATCGATTTGCTCGGGCGGGCCCAGTAACGTCTCCATCGTGAGACTTCTTGTTACTGTGTTTGGCATATCGAATACATCACGGTTAGCTTGCCAGGCTTTGCCCTGCAGGCAAGATACTCTCAGTAGCTTGCCAGGCTCTCCGAGAGGGGCAGAGCTATCGAACTCAGGTCAGCCATGTTAGCTGCTTGCAAGGCAAACGCCCAACCGCTATGCTATCGCTCCAGCACTAACTGAAACCCAAGCACAAAAATTTGTAAGTCTATAACTGTACCTCATGGTGTTTCACTAATAAAAAACTTTAAAAAAAATTCTGAGTTCAGCAATATAATAGAGAACAACGTTCTTGTCTTCCACACAGCTGACCCAGTTTACTCTGCTGGAAACAAATGGTAGGTACACTAAACCCTGCCAGGAGAAAACCCTGAGCACAGAGCCCAGATTAAATCCTGATCCCAGCTCTTTGTGACCCCAAACTAAGCAAAACAAACAAACCTTCCTGGTTGTCTGGCACTTCAGTATTCTCTTTGTTTATTTGTTTTATGGTGGGAACACACACCCTACAGTGCTTGGGGGTACTTGCCTGCCTCTGGGCTCAAGGATCACACCTGGCAAACACCTTACAGCCTCCACTATCTCTCTGATGCCAACAGCGCTCCGTTTCTAGTTTTTTTATCATTTCTACTTTTCCTCAACAAGAATGGGATGTGGAACATGAAGACAATTGAAGAAGGGCTTGCTTCCCCTGAAAGCTAGTTCCCTGAACATGGCATTCCTTGTGACAAAATAGAGCTCTGGGAAATCACTTCCCTCTCTGAAAATCCTTTAATCCAGCCCCACCCTATCTCAGGGTGGTTCTCCTGAGCCCTACCCTAGGATGTATATAAATGCTGTGCTGAGTGCAGGGCAAGCATTGCCAGACTGAAGTCTGCATCCTCCAAGGAGAGCAGCTCACCAACAGCAACAAGCACTGTGCAGGACCAGAATCAGGACCAAGGTGAGTAGTGATCAATCAGGGGTTTTGCCTTATGTAGAGCAGGGGTGGGCCAGAGAGATCAAAGTGGGGATGGGGAGGGAAGGGGCGTTGTGTTTCTTGCTGGACCAGAGCTTAGCTCCCACAATTTCCTTTGTGCTCACTGTGTGAGGTTCTAGAGGGCAACTTTCTGACTATCTGGTGTCTATCTTCCTTATACTGAGTCCCAGAATTAAGTTCCCTTTCCTCCTCTAATATGAATGGGGTCATTTTCCCATTCACGGAGACTTGACAACTGTGGAGCAATATTACTTGAAACAGGGGACCCTAATGCACGAGGGACCCTAATGCACGAGCAATTCCTTTGGTCTTAGGAGAGTAAACTTGGAGAAGCCCTTGAGTCTAGAACTGTTCTGGTCATCAGAGAGACACATCCCTTAGAAACCCATATTGAGTTCAGGACAATGACTGAGTGTGTAACTGTTTTCCTGGCAGGAGAGAGCCTGAGGGTTTCAACTTTCTGAGGAAAATCACCCCCGACTTGCACTTTCCCACACCCAAGGATGGAGGTGTGGGAAGCCCTGGCCAAAATGCAGCCAGACCTCATCTGTCGCATCTGCCTGGACTACATCAATGACCCTGTCACCATCGACTGCGGCCACAGCTTCTGCGACTCCTGCATCCACATGTCATCGAAGGAACTGCAGGACACATTCCCTTGTCCCGTGTGCCCGCAGTCCCGCCAGGAGATGCGCGTCAGTGCCAACGCCCAGCTGGGCAGGCTGGTGGACCTGGCCAAGCTCCTGCACAGCTCCAGGAGCAGCGAGATGGCAGTGGCAGAGGAGGGCAGGTGTGAGGAGCACAGGCAGGGAGTGAGCCTCTTCTGCGAGGATGACCAGGAGCTGGTGTGTCCCCAGTGCGCCCAGGGCCCTACCCACCAGAGCCACCAGGTCAGGTCCATAGGCGAGGCAGCGGCTCATCACAGACAGAGGCTTGGTGACTGCATCAAGTCCCTGAAGAAGCAGCTGGTAGAGCTGCAGAAGCTAGAAGTCGCCCAAGACAGAAACATCCTGCAGCTGAGAGAGGACATGGGAAAGCACAGGAATCAACTGGCCTTGGAATTTGAGCAGCTCACCCAGTTTGTGGAGCGTGAGCACGAGGCCGCGCTCTGCAGGCTGACAGAAGAGGACAAACGCCTGCAGCAGCAGCTCAGGGCCAACCTGGAGGCCTACTCGGACCACATCTCGGAGCTGAAGGACCTCAGACGGGAGGTGGCAGAGCGGAGCGTGATGTCTGAAGCGATGGTGCTGAGGGGCGTGAGGGGCCTGCAGCAGTGCTATGCGGGCCTGCAGCCCCCGGCCGTGCAGCCCCTGCGCTTCTGGCCCGTGGCCTACAGCCTCCCTCCTCTGCACTCGCTGCTCAACAGCATCATCCGGAGATTCCGAGAGCGCATCAGCCTGGACCCCGACACGGCCCACCCCAGCCTGCGCGTGTCCCAGGACCTCCAGTCGGTGACCTGCGTGAGGGAGAGGTCCAAAGGGGATGGCGACCCCTGGCCCTGGGATGACACCGCCCAGCTGGTGGTCCTGGGCCGGGAGGGCTTCGCCTCTGGCTGCCACTACTGGGAGGTGCAGGTGGGTGTCAAGCCCGAGTGGGCCGTGGGCGTGTGCAGCGTGGTCCCTTCTGCGCAGACCTCGCGGCCTCTGGCGGCTCCCAAGAGATGCTGGACGCTGCAGCTGCAAGACGGCGACTACCTGGCCGTGAGTGCGGGGCTGTGCCTCTGGCTCTCAGGGACCAGCCCACGGCTATCGGCGTTTACCTGGACTGGGAGCTGGGCCAGCTTTCCTTCTACAACTTCGCCGACGGGTCTCACCTGCACTCGTTCACCGAGCCCTTTGCTCAAGAGCTCAAGCCCTACTTCTGCTTGGGGCCCGACTCCGCCCCTCTCTCTGTGGGCGCTGGTGGGGCTGAGGATGGGTGAGCATATCCTGGGCTTCCCCCATGCATCATGTGGTCAGCTTGTGTTCTTGTAAATTTGGAATTCTTTGCATTAGGTGTCGATGGTTAAGGTTGATGTGAAGAACTGTTCCCATTTTGTAACTCTTTGTAATTTTTAATGCCAACTATTTTATAGCTTTATGTCTATTTCGGTTAATAAGTTATACTTCCTTTCCTCAACATGTTATTGTCAAAGACATTGCAAACTTTTCTGATCCAGTTTTACTAGACCTGGGAGGTGGGAGGTCCCTGGGACTTTTGGCTTATTTTTAACACAGGTTGTTTATTCTTAGAGAATATGTGTATTTCACCAGTTTTCCTCAATTCTGTAACACTTTAGCAGTTTCCTCTGAGCATGGATCAAGGATTATCCACTTTGCCCAGTTTGATGAGGACCAAATAATAAAATAAATAAATAATTATAAAAACAAAGATCTGAATTTGTTATTAATATATTGCTACACTTACAAACAAAATTACGAATCAGATGTCACACACTTTTGCAGTTCCCCCACTCAGAAATGTTTTATTTGGGGCTGGAGCAATTGCATAGCGGGTAGGGCTTTTGCCTTGCACGTAGCTGCCCCAAGTTCGATTCCCTGCATCCCATATGGCCCTGTGAGCACTGCCAGGAGTAATTCCTGAGCGCAGAGCCAGAAGTAACCCCTGTGCATTGCCGGGAGTGACCCCCAAAAGAAAAATAATAATAATAATAATAATAATAATTTATCTGAGTCTTGTTATATAAATACCTTTTTCTCCTCCTGGCAAGAGAGAGCCCAAGGAGCTCTGCCTTGTGAGGAATAAAACTCCAGTTCTGCCCTTCCCACAGCTGAGAATGGAGGTGTTGGCAACACTGGCCAAAATGCAGGCAGAGCTCATCTGTCCCATCTACCTGGACTACTCAGTCATCATCGACTTGGAGCACAACTTCTGTGACTGCTGCATAAGCCTCTCACGAAAGGACATGCAGGACAGATACTATTGCCCTGTCTGCGGGCAGCCCCACCAGGAGAAGAGTGTCAGTGCCATTGCCCAGCTGGGCAGGCTGGTTGACCTGGCCAAGTTCACTACCGCTCCAAAATGCTCACGTTGTTTTCCCTCCCACTCTAAGGTGCTGAGTCTTTCCACCTCAGAGGTGTTCAATAGTCCTGCTTTGGAGCAGCAATAGGGAATGTGATTAGGTAGACTTCCTTTTCAGAGGAAAACCTCATTAATGGCTGCCCCCACGTGTCTATTTGCCTGTATTATGTCCACAACACACCTGTAAATAATCACCCTTCACTCCAACTTCCTAGAAGGAAGTTTTACTTGTGAATCCTTTGCCAGCAGAAAGAGCAACTCAATTTGGGTCATGTTAGGTACTGAATGATTCATGTACAGAAAGTTGAGGAAAGAACTGAAGGCTCTGGTTCGTTCTATTCCTCTGACAGCATACAGCACAGTCTTGAAGACTAGCATCCACCTGGAGCATGGATTGAGTCATATTTCCTTTTATAATATGAGAAAGGTCTTATACTCATTCCTTTTTTTAATTTCTGTTTCTTACTGTTATGTAAAGGTCGGGAGCGATAGCACAGTGAGTAGGGCATTTGCCTTGCATGCGGCTGACGTGGCCGATTTGGGTCCTGCACACCTCTCAGAGAGCCCGGCAAGCTACTGAGAGTATCCCGCTTGCAAAAAAAGCTTGGCAAACTACCCGCGACGTATTTGATATGCCAAACAGAGTAACAAGTGTCACAATGGAGACTTTACTGTGTCTGCTAGAGCAAATTGATGGACAATGGGAGGACCGTGACAGTGATTTATTTATTTATTTATTTTTGTGGCCACAGCAGGTGATGCTCAGGGCTTACTTTTGGCTCTATTCTTGGAAATTACTCCTGACTGCACATGGGACCAGATAGGATCGTAGGGATTGAACCTGGGACAGTGTGTGCAAAGCAAATACCCCACCAGCTATTCTATGGGTCCATTCTATTGTCATGTTTTTTAGAAAAAAGAGGAATGGTGTATACTGGCAATGAGTTCTTTAGAATTAATACAGTCAAGATGAGATTGAAGAAGTAACTTTCACTAGTCCTAAATGAGCAAGTTTTAAAGAACAGAACCATTTTTTGGTCACAGGAAGTAAGGCAGATAAGACTTTAATTGACACCAGTACAGACCTATAGGATCCTGGACCCCTTGGAAAAGTGCCCGAGCATGTCTAAAATTGTGAGAAGCATTTATGATCATCAAAAGTTTAAGGCTCTTCTTGACAAGAAAGACCACAGCAATGGACTGATTTTTTTTTTAATTAGTGAAACACCATGAGGTATAGTTGTAGATTTACAATTTTTTGCGCTTGGGTTTCGATTATCCAATGATCAAATACCCATTCCTCCATCACTGCCCATTTTCCATCACCATGGATAATATCCCTCCCACCCCCATCCCCCCCATCCCACCCTGCCTCTATGCCAGGGCATTCCTTTTGTTCTCTCTCTCCTTTTGGGTGTTGTGGTCCGCAAAAGAGGCATTGAGTAGCAAACATGTTCAGTCCATAGTCTACTTTCTACATGCATCTCCCCTCCTGGGAGGATCCTCCAAACACCATTTATTTGGTGCTCCCTTCTCTATCTGAGCTGCCCTTTTCCCTAGAATGCCCGGCTGGCCTCTAAGCTATGGAGTAATCCTCTTGGTGCTGATCTCAGCTATTCTTGGGCATTAATCTCATATCTTGTTACTTTATATCCCCCAGATGAATGCAATCTTTCTATATCTATCCCTCTCTTTCTGACTCATTTTGCTTAGCATGATACTTTCCATATTGTACCACTTGTATATAAATTTCATGACTTCATCTTTTCTAACAGCTACATAGTATTAGTATTCCATTGTGTAGATGTACCAAAGTTTCTTTAACCACTCATCTGTTCTTGGGCACTCAGGTTTCTTCCAGTTTCTGGCTATTTTAAAGAGTGCTGCAATGAACAAACAAGTGCAGATGTCACTTCGACTATACATTTTTGCCTCTCTGGGATATATTCCCAGGAGTGGTATTGCAGTGTCAAATGGGAGCTCAATTTCTAATTTTTTGAGAATCATCCATATTGTTTTCCAAAATGGCTGAACCAGTCGGCATTCCCACCAACAGTGAAGGAGTGTCCCTTTCTCGCCACATCCGCGCCAGCATCAGTTGCTTTTGTTCTTTTGAATGTGGGCCAGTCTCTGAGGTGTGAGATGGTATCTCATTGTGGTTTTGATCTGCATCTCCCTGATAATTAATGATGTAGAGCATTTCCTCATGTGTATTTTTGCCATTCTGATTTCTTCTTTGAGAAAGTTTTTGTTCATTTCATTGCCTCATTTTTTTGATGGGGTTCGATGTTTTCTTCTTGTGGAGTTCAACCAGTACTTTGTATATCCTTGATATCAACACCTGGTCAGATGTGTATTTGGCGAATATCCTTTCTCATTCTGTAGACTGTCTTTGTATTTTGGTCAGTGTTTCTTTTGAGGTGCAGAAGCTTCTTAGTTAAAGATAGTCCCATTTTTCTATCTCTGCTTTCACTTGCTCAGCCAGTGGCGGGGCGTCTTTGAAAATACCATTAGCCTCAATGTCATGGAGGGTTTTGCCAACTTTGTCTTCAATGTACTTTATGGTTTCTGCTGTGATGTTGAGGTCTTTAATCCATTTTGATCTTACTTTTGTACATGGTGCTAGGCAGAGTTCTGAGCCCATTTTTTTTGCATGTAGCCGTCCAGTGATGCCAGCACAATTTGTTAAAGAGGCTTTCCTTACTCCACTTCACATTTCTTGCACCTTTATCGAAGATTAGATGATCACATGGTTGAGGGGAGATGTCAGTGTATTCAAACCTGTTCCATTGGTCTGCAGTTCTGCCTTTGTGCAATGGACTGATTTTTCTGTAGGCATAACGCTCCATCTGGGGGCAGCTTAGGATAACATTTATGAAACTACTCTTCCCCTGCGTCTCAAACCTGATATTGCGCTCCCAGTTCTGTCCTCCATAGAAGCCCATGTTTTCTCTGAATGAGGTATTCTCCTCTTTCATTCTTCATAATCTCTCTATATAGAAATTTTACTTTAAAAAGGAAGATGATTTGGGGGGTATTATATGAATATAAATATAAAGTAGTTTGGGGGTCACACCTCGCATTGCTCAGGGCTTATTCCTGCATTCTGTTCTTAGGGATCCCTCTTGGCAATGCCTGGTATACAATTGAGGTGACAGAAATTGAATATGGGTTTGCGTGTAAGGCCAGCGTTATTGGTTAAAATACATTCTGGCCTATAACTGTAGATGTGAAATCCTGTGATAACCATGATGGAATTTTCACAAAGTGGGTGGGACAATTCAGATTCCAACCAGCAAAGACCTCAGGTCTCTCTGAGTAGAGGCAGTACAGGGTTGGCCTGGAGCTGAGCTGAGAGAATACACAAAAGTTCAGGTTATAAGGTAGGGACTCCCCAACAATAAAATGAAGGGGTGGGGCAGAATACAGCAGGTAGGACATTTGCCTTGCACCAACCCCATATAGTTTTTCCTTCAAGTCCACCATGAGAGATACCTTAGGACAGAGCCAGAAGTACACCTTGAGCACAGCTGAGTATCACCCCAAAGGAAAACCAAAAATGAAAACCAAAACCAAGAAAATGAAGTTCCGCAGCCAGGGCTGTGAACACGTGTGATCTTTGCACTTTTAGGGCTTTCCCTGACTTCTTGTATCTCTGTTCAATGTTTGATAGGATCAAACTGAAATCCAGAAGTCTTTACTAGGAAATATCAATTTCTCCTAGAAAGTATAAGTGATATACAAATCCCATGATCTTCACAATCAACCGTTTTCAGGGACGTCTGGAGGCCTGTGATATTGTTTTCTATCTAGTATGGAAATTATATTTTGATTGACATGTCAACCTCATCAATTAGTTACTTCCTGCTTCTTTCCTAGAATAATTTTCTCATTCCAAAACTTCACCCAGTCCACCCTGTGTATGCTGTCCTGGCCTGTGCCCTTTGCCCTGTAACTGTCTCCTCACATCCCCTGAGGGCCACATCAGTGCCTGTGGAAAAACTTTATCCTGCTGAACACAAGATAACTCTTATCTGTTAGATAATACTTAAAGAATATTTCTAATTTCATTGCAAAATTTAATTTAAATGAATAGCACTGTAGTCCTGTGGTTCATCAATTTGCTCGAGCCAGCACAAGAAACGTCTCCATTATGAGACTTGTTCTTATTTTTTTTTTTTTTGGCATATCGAATACTTCATGGGGAGTTTGCCAGGCTTTGCTGTGAGGGCTGGATACTCTCAGTAGCTTGCCAGGCTCTCTGAAAGGGGCAGAGGAATTGAACCTGGGTCGACCATGGCAAGGCAAAATGCTCAAACTCCTGCGTTCACTCTAGCCGGAACTTAAACTCATATGCCAAATTAAATCTGAATACTAGCTTCCAGCCTTCTTATACCATTACTTACAATAAGCTTCATTACCACACATTTGGGCTATACCTGGTTAAAACATAAAACATTAAGGAGAACAACCCATAAGTATATTTTTTAATTTCAGTAACTAGATGGAGGAAATAGCTTAAAAAGCTGGAGAAATTCTTGAGAATGAGCAAAACTCTGCAAATGCAGTACAAAATAGCATAGTAGAAAGTGTCTAGGAATTTTCGAAACAGAGATAACTATGGGAAAATAATAAACTAGAAACACATGAGCTAAAAATACACAGTAGGTCGCCAATGGATTGAAGTTGCCCAAGACAAGTATTTTAGGTGTTCTGTGGACTAGTGGCTGGGGTGCGGTGATGATTCTAGCATTTCTAGGGACTTGCTTGGCTTAAGAGATTCACTTGATACAAAAGTCTCTCCTGTCAGTTTTCCCAGGCAAACAGGAAAGGGGACAGGGGGGAAGAAGGCTTTAGGAGATGTTCGAAAAGCTTTATTTACAGTGAACGTTTCAACATCAGGGGAAGGAAACATAGCACATACCACATTATCCTCCAGTATGCTCACATCATTAGTCTCTAATGATATACATTGAAAGAGAATTCGATAAAAGTCCAATCGCAAAATAGGGTATCACTTTTTCTGAGAATGTACCAGTGAGCCTAAGCAAACATGACCTGTTAGTCATATTAAAAACAGAAAGTTCT